TTGATCTTATTTTGATCTCTTGCAATTAATTTTGTTGTAATATGGTATGGAAAATTGGACTAAAGCACCAAACAGGCATGGTATTGATTACCGTTCACAGTAAAATATTTTCTTACCAAAGACCAGACATATCTCGAAAAGTTTTTTGCCTAAAGGTTATAGAAATACTATAGTAACAAGTGATTCTTTATGACTGCTTAACATAAGAAATACTCTAAGATATTTCCGAACATGCGGACACATCAATCAAACTTTTAAGATAATTATGGGTTCAATAGGAAATAATTGTCGCTTTTAATCAATCAGAAATTTAATAAATTAAAACTCGAGAGAGAAACGCTCTGGTACTCTTCGAACTGGGAACAATCTTCTGCAATGAATTACAGTTGAGTGTCAAGATTTCTTTAAGGTTATTAGCAGTCTCCAAAAAGATACATGATTACACGGAAAACCGGTTATATGACGGTTGATATATGCTTTTTATTGAGAAACAAACCTCTTAAATACTTCAGACCAAGTATTGAGCAATAAAAGATGATCACCAATATACATTTAACATACTGGATAAGCGATCTGAAGTACCAACGAACCATAAGTATGTTTTAAATGGTAACATTTTGGTTCGTTATTTGCGTTTTTTTTAAATATCAGTTCACCGATGGAGTTGAGCTGATAACTTGATCTCAAATGCAAATATTACTTGGACATATCAAATAACTTGCGTTGTTTATCGATTAGTATTGTTTATTATTTAAAAGGCCTCCCTACATCACGGCACTATACACAAGCTCAGTAATATTGATAGACAAAACAAGAATCGGAAGTGACTTACAAATTAGAGTATAGGCCTTTGAGGCACAATAATTATGTAAGGGTTTGAAGAGCCTGTAATAGTGCAGTGGGTTTCATCACTGCTCAGAATGGAAAAATAGATATATTAAACTACTATCTAAATGAACAAAGAAAGCATATCCATACATTAAATGTAGCTTTAGCCATTAGACAAAACTGAAAGTAATCCGTCAAGATTCACAAAATCCAGTAGCCTATTAATCAGTTGGTTTTAGTAGATTCCCTAAAACACTCAAATAAATATCATAGAACGGATAACTCAAACCTCGTGGTAACTATGTCGCCATAATCGAAATGAACCTATTAACTACTGCTAAGTAATCAGCTAGACAATTGTAGCGCAAGACTACCTAGAGAACGAGCTAAATTTTATAAGAATTTTGAATTTCTAAAGAAACGATACGAGTTGCATATTTCTGAAGTTCAGTGTCGGCGCAACAGATATGTGAATACACTAAGATCGCCTACTATTATATTCTTGTTTAATGAGTTTATACAAAAGCCTACTAGATACAATGATCCCAGATGCAAATAGTTCGCTATGGATTACTATTAGCTATACTTAACAGTATTTTATGGTCTACGCTGACCATGTTTGGAACTTTACAACATGTTCCAGACAAAAGAAGTTACATTCAACTGATCTACACTTGTGATCAGTACGAATATTAAAAAACTAACTATCCAGACATCAAATAATTACAAATAGTTGGCCAAAAGCCCTTATTTATAATGGTTGGACGAATAAATACTTGATCACTTAATTTCAGTAAAGCTTCATTCAATAAGTCGTTCTCTCATAGAGTAGTTCTTACAGTCTAGCGACGCAGTTCTTAATTGAAAACGACTGGAACTAGTCTCTAAAGGATCACTAGTATCATGGAAAACACACGTTATGTCGACAATCAGGAACGAAAAGACAAGGATCTGTAGCTTTTACTGCCCAGTCATCATGATTTTTGTTCAGATTAAGGGCTAAGTCAATTAAAATCCGGTCAACACTAACAAGAGGAAAAATATTTGTAAGTTTACTTCGACGATAGCTACTTATCACTTTGTTTATTAGTGAGGCTTATTGCGATTGGTAAAGGTTTTGAGTTACACTTCAGTGAAACTACCCCGTTTCTTAAACTACAGGTGGTCTTGAGCGACGTTGTGTATATGAAAGACCTTTGAAAGGTTGGGTTTGGATGATCTTGACAATCTAGGACCAAGACCACAGAGCAAAGTCAAAAGACTCAAGGTCGATCACACTTGTGTAGCTTTGAAACCTTACCCCTGTCAATCGAAATATGTTGGCCATTATATTATTTAGGGTCGATCTTTTCTAACATTTTCTTTCGGTTAAGGAAGGTCAGCAACGCTGAAGACTATTTATCTGAGGGAAACATCTTACCGCCATATCAACTCCTGTATAGTTAGCAGTACGGTTTTGCTATCGGACCTCAAATTATTACTTTCACGTTTACCACTCTCTAACTAACTGGCTAAGATGATACCATTTAAAAGAATAAATGTTGCAAAAAATATAGCTCGATTGGCTCGTTAAAACAGTCACGAAGATGGAGACTGATTCGAATCCCCAAAACTTGAATGATTGAAAATTGATTTCCTTTAATAATTGCTTCATCCTGTATACACTGATCTATCCACAACCCATTTTAACTTAGAAAAATAAAGAGTTTACAGAAATTACACTAATTATGTGTGAATGCAATAGAAATTATGTACATGGCAAAAATAAAAATAATTCATTTAAAATTCATATTAGTAGTAAGTTGTACAACTAGTTAGGATTAGTACTACTACTGCTACTAGTACTACTGATACCACTGATATTAACAACAGCAAACATTCATGTGGAAAAGCGCACAAAAAATTACAATTATATAATATACATATGTATGTACGATAAACAAAAAAGAAACCCTCGTGTACAACATATTCACCTACACTTGCCACTTATAAAACAGATCTGAAAAGGAATATGAGAAATGCAAACAGCCAAGATATATGGAATAGGTATAATATATAAAAAAGACATATATATATACTAACATAACGGGAAAATATCAGAGTGAAATACATCGATGGTGAGAAAAAAAATAGTCACTTCACTTGAATCAAAGGGTAGTTGTTTTCTTATTGTGATACATAAAAAAAAGAAAAGACGAGATTTTGCGATTTTTGTAATGATCGGTGAAAGATAAAAGAAGAGATTGTTCAACTTTTGTTATTGTAACGTGTAGAACAACAACAACATGGGATTCAAATTAACCAAATACATACTAGCTGATTGAACTCTGTCTAATTAGATGAATCCAATTATTCTGATAAATAGACTACTATAGTTCATCATTTAGATTTTAAAAAACTCATGTTTTTGTAAAAATATATTTGTCTGTTGCATAAGTGTTATGGTATTAAGGGATAAATTCAATGAAGGCTATCTTTATCTTTCTATGAATGAAGTCTTCCTTTAAATAAAAAACAACAACAACAACAACAACAACAACTCGATGGAATAATGAGAATTGTGAAAAATAAGATCAAAAATGTTTTTTTTGTCAAAAAAGTAGTCGAGTTTAGAACGAGAGAAAAAAATAGCGACAATACATCTCCTTATTGCTAAACGATGATGACGGGGTGGTGGGGATGAGGGTAAGGACTAAAAGCATGTCAAAAAAAATAGAGCATCCTGTGTGCAATCATAAACTAGGACAGTCTACCACAATATAGTAGAGTATTAAAAATAATTTCTTTTTTCTTCTTCTTCAAAATGGAACGTATTTGAGTGAATTTGTTTATAGAAATGAATAAAGAAATACTGAAAATACAATAATGATAACAATATTGATGTTTATAACAAAAGTAAGGTAATAACCGAGAATGTATTGAAGCCAAATATGCTTCTTTTAAAAGTAAAAAGCAAAAAAAAAAAAACTACAAGGCGGAAATATTCGAAGGTAAACAGGTTTCATTATTAGGAAAGAGAAAAATGCACACATCAAGAGAGAGATACATGTTCATCTACATACATAAATGATAAAGAAGTTCGTCCATACAATGAATCATAATTGAAGTGATGATTTTTTTCTTTATTAAAAAAAGAAAGGTTGCACATAAAAAAAGAAAGAAAAGAGGAAAACAGATTTAATTTTGGGATGTATATATTCATTGTGTCGAAGAATTTTCATAGATAAACAAACACCGGATTAGAGTTGTTAGATATGCTGCAGAGTTAATACAATAATAATAATAATAATAATAATAATAATAATAATAATAATAATAATAATACAAAAAAACCCTTAAAGTTTTATCATTTAATGTCCCCAATGTGGGCAACAACTAATCATCATTACTTAAGGTGTAGATGAGAAAAAGAAATTCAATGACAAATGACAAGATTTCTATACTCTACTCAAAAAAAAGTTTACAAAACACAAAAAAAACCGAGATCTAAAATAATCCCATTGATTTGAAGAAGAAAAACAAAGTCATGAAGAACAGATAATAATGATAAATAAATAGTAGTATATATTGACTGTAACAGTAGTAGTAGTCGTAGTAGTAGTAACAAAATGTAAACCAGATTTTACCAGTTAAATATACGTATATATATATATATATATATATATATATATATATATATATATATATATATATATGGGTATAGATATCAAAAATATTATTGTTTTGAAACAACATACATATACTTCGACAAGGGGGTCGGTTGGTTATGGAACAAATGAAGTGCAAGGTTGACAAGTGTTAAAATGTTGTTGTTTATTTTTATTAATGATAGATGACACTTAATACATACAAAAACAAAACATTAATGTCTACCTATCAAAAAACAAAGTTGAATAAGACGAGTGTAACATTCTTAAAAAAGAATAATATAGAAATAATAATTGTAGAAAAAAAAGAACTATTGAAACCACAGCCATACTATTAGATTTGTTTACAAAAAAGAAAAACAAACTCGAAAGTTTCTTTTTTTAAACCAGTCGGTTACTGACAAAAGAAAAGCTGAGAATAATATTTTAGAAAAGTACACACAAAAACAACCACACTTAATAGAGCTGCTGCTTTTTTGAATAGGGGGAAAATGGATTCATATATATATATATATATATATATATATATATATATATATATATATATAAAAACAACCCTTAACATATGGATTAGTCGGACAGATCTAATGAAATATGGAAATAGAAATACATTCGAAATTATGAAACTTCATGAGTGAACAGATTAATGACTCGAATGACAACGATGATGATGATAATAATGAGGACGTGGAGGAGGAGGAGGAACAGGACGAGAATAATAATGTAGACGACATTTTTTTTTAATATTGATGATTCAAGATGATTATTTTCATATAAAAAATCCCGGCGCTGTTCAAAATTAATTAATAAATGCTCCATAATAATATGAAATGTGAGTTTTACTTTTCGGAGTGCGTGTGCGAACGCGTGTAGAAAACGCCTCACAACATACAAATAAAATGCATTACGTAAAAAATTGTAAAAGAACCGGTGGAAAAAAATGGTTGTATCTTTATAGAAAATTTTTAAAAAAATGAAAAGACAATTAACAAAATGAGATATCCTATGATACACAATTCACTGCTCCTCTCTACTTCTTAGTAAAGTGGCAGTAATATTCAATGTTACTACATTGCCAAAGAAAAATAGGTGAAAACAAAACAATGGAATTTGTGATTAGAATACGTATAGAGATTTTTAAATAGAAAGATAAGAAGGAGACATAGAATCAACAAACACTCGATGATGTGGAAGTAGTAACAGTAATCTACCGTTGATTTTACACAAAATGCTTTCTACATATTGTTTTGCCCTAAATAAACACTGCGAACACAATCGTCACAGGTCGACAAGAAAATTTCCTTCTTAATATATAAAAGTTTACAACAAAAAAAGGTTTTTAGTTTAAAAAAACTGGAATTTACCGGTTTGATTTCTCATTTTTACATATAATATATCCATAGACATCAGTATTACTCTATTGATTCATCGGACCTTGTTGATAGTTGCTTCTTTTACGAGATACACAAAAACAATTAAAACCCATATAAATATTCCACCGTCGGTTTTATAATTACTCACTAAACACGATGCGTAGTATCTGAATTTTTATGAGTAAGACTCATGGATGTATTTGTTCCGACTGCCGATACACATCCAGAGGTGGTACCGCCGCCCCCACCTTGCATAATTTCTAATAGTTGATCTAATGTGGCACGTCTACGTAGACCAGCTGCCCGTAACTCGTCAGCTAAATGTGTAACCATATCGGTCAAGCGTAAATGAATAGTCTCTTCATTGAGTAAACGCTGGACAACACCAGCCAACTCACTACCAGGCGGTAATCGGTCGGATATAGAAGTGTATGACTGTTGTTGTGGCTGGTGTTGATGATGAGGATGACTAGTATTATTATAATTATTAAGATGAGTAGTCGTATTACCATTCAGTAAACCTGCTTCAGATGCCAATAAATTCAGATATTGTGATGTATCCATGCCGTTTAAACCATTCAACAAATTAGAAGCTAAATTGGCAACATGCAATGAATTATTAGCGTTGTTGTTGTTATTGTCTGTATTAAAATCATTACCATTTGTGATTATACTCTTATTGGCATTATTAATACCATTATTATTTGTATTAGTAGTATGCTGTGTAAGTGCAGCATTACCACCATTTGTGGTATTTGGACTATTAGTAGAGTGCAAAGCATTTTTTAGAGAGGCAGTAAGAGCAAAGAATTGTTCACGTTGTTGTATACTATCCAAAGGTATAGAATCATCTTGTAGTTGTGTTTGTTGTTGACGTAGTAAATCGTTGAATAGCTGTGACTGAACTAGAAGAGCAGCTGCTGCGGGATTAAAAATGAATGGAAATCCAGAATTAGCATGTTGTGAAATTGTTGTATTATTGTCATGATTTGTTGAATTAGGCGTAGATGATACATGATGTTTTTTATCATTGTCTGAACAACGTGAATTACTGGTGAACAATGCAGTACCAGGTACAGAAGTAGTGGGAGTATTAGTTGTTGTATCATAATTGGACTGTTCAGTTTTATATTTTGTACCATTTAATGAATGAAAATTCGGTGTTAAGGAATGTGGTGTACGTGTTCTAGATAGACCAAAGTATAATGGTGAATCTGGAGCGTGTAATGATGAGGATAATGTAAGTCTGGCTGATGACAAACTACCAGGACCACCTGGTGTATTCGGTGTAGATTTACTTGTACTGATACGATCACCGGTTACTTGCATAGTTGTAGCATCAATATTTGGATAGATTACTAAAATTAAACGAGCCACACGTCGTAGAATATCGGCGTTACGAACAGCTTTTTGTGGATTATTCACCAATAAACGAACATCACGACGTAAATTCTTCCATTTATTGTAACAATGTTCCATAGTAAAACCTAATGATTCCATTTCTGTGCCAATAATTTGCCAAACTTGTTTATGCTTTTTTTGTATATTAAATTCATCCAAATGTTTTTCTACACAATCTAACAATGTTTGAACATTTTGATTTGACCAATGTACTTTCTTTTCAGTTGAATCAGTTGGATGACGTGGGCTATCAACATTTAACATGAATCCACGAGTTGTTCCACCGATATCGTCATCTTCATCCTCCGGTGGTAACATTGTCACATCGAGTTGTTCGTCAACATCATCATCACAATGATTGATTGTATTATTATTGCGATTATTTTCATTATTAATGTTGTTATTGTTGTTTACATGTTGACGAAGAGAAGAATATTTTAATGGCTCCAAGTCCATTGGATCTTCATCATCATCTTCTACATCCTCTGGAAAACTCGGACTGGACTTCTCAGGACTTTTTGAGGTATAATTCATCACATGATCCATCATCTATAAAGTGTCAATTAAACAGTAGTTATTAAGGTGCATGGTATTTTGAAATAGAATCAATAATGTACATTCTGGCGTATTGCATAATGATAAAGTTACTTGACTTCACAATTATCAGACTTTGGAGAGGTTAATTTAGAAGGGTTAGAACACACAGACGATATAGTCCTGTTTGATGACTGATGAAACAGTTCTCCAAACACATTGAGTAGCAACACAAACATAGTGAATATGTATTTCATTCTCCTTGAATGAAAAATGTTGCCTTAGAACCAGTCTGTATCAACGTCTAGGATGACCCTAAGGGTAAGGTAATTGAGCACGTTGGTCATTTTATATATCATTTAAGTTTCATCAGCTATGGTAGGCTGGAATTAATGACTGATAAGGTCTTATAAGGGATCCAAGAAACTTATTTGGTATTAGCTAACTTGCATCACTGGTGGCGACGGTCAAATGCCTGTCTACAAACCAGGGAGTAAGGATGCTATCCAACAGATTGCTGTGGCTGTGAAACATGGCTTATAAAAATAAGAAACATAAAGACTGGAAGTAGGTATCTGAAGTGCTACTCGTGTACTATGGAACAGCAGAGTGAGCACTGTTGAAGTTAGGGATAGAGTAATAGGCAGGTCAGTTGATGAGGTCGTAAATGTTTATCGACTAAGGTAGTTAAGACAAGTGTTAGATATACTCAACCCCCGTGTACTTTAATGCATAATGGTGGGTTAAAAAGTCATGCATTACAAAACTAAGTGTGGCCGAAACGAGATGTGGCGTAAGTTTAAGAAGTTAACTATGGTCGGAGATACGACTTAGAATCTATTACATTGATGAAGTTTGTTCAAACTATATTTCCCAAAATGTTGAGCTCTTTTATTACTGCATACTTCATATTGTTCCGGTTCGTTGTTTCCCATTCAGGTGCGTTTGTGAAAAGTTTACAACCTCTCTCGGTACAATCGGAGACATTGTGACTGCTCGTAATATGGATTGAAAAGAATGGACATCATTCAGATGTCGGTTTCTGAAATGCTAGCATCTAAGTGGCGACTAGTCAATATTTACCGTCAATATCGACCAAGAAATAAGAGACAGAAACTCGCTGAAATACTTTGTGCTGAGAATTCTATATTGCAGCAAAAATACAATATAGAATAAGACCAATAATAATAAGCAAGACTCAATGTCCAAGTACATATCTGAACGGTAATATTTAGGCCACACATACTGAGTAAATATTTAAGATACTATCCGATTAGCCAAACCGAACCAGATGTAATGGCTATGAACTCATGGGCCAATAGTTGGTTACCAGGTACCGAAACCGTCAAGCCTGAAACATATATCGAGTTTCCATTTGACAGGTAGTCGTCTTCCTAAGAGTCAACAGATTTAGCTTATGTTTAGATATAATAAAGTTGACAATATTTTTAGTAAATCCCTGTTATCCAATCTTTGAACGTGCAAGACATGGTAACGAGTAAAATTAGATCAGTGCTGCACAGGTTTCTCCATCTGAAAAAGAGATGAAAAGCCTCGAAAGGACATGAACGGCTAGTTACACTGCAAACACTACAAGCTACTTGAATAATAAAATCTAAAAACTTCAATGGTCCTTTTTGATAAAAATAACGAATGTAGCAAGATCAATAAAGAATATCACGGAAAATCATTAATAACTTGAACCGTAATTACAACGAAGACAAGAGTCACGAGTGCAAACAGCGCGCACTTACTGCCGCGAAAAACAAAGGCACATCGGATTCAGATTCAGATGGTACAGAACAACCAGTTTTTCAATATCCAATCTCGTAAATAATGTAGTAGCAGAAGACATTGACAACTTTTAGGAATCTGAATAAAACATCGTATTTTCTTCCACGATCGCGCATATGAAATTGTTCTTGTATTCACCGTTTTATACAGCAGTAGGCTTATATGTTCGTACACATCGTGACTTCTTTGTCTTCTGCCTATTTTTGAGATATCCATGATATGGGTCGTATAATTAAACCAATTCTCTACTTCGTGTGAATTCTGAACAACGTATGTTTAAATGCCGTCTGATGACAAATAGTCGGGAGCAGTTCCATCACTGTTTTTTCTAAGAGGCGACACTCCATGTGATCATGTTTCATACTAAACTACTATTGCTATGTCTTTCATTTATAAATTCATATTTTTTGTAACCAAGACCCTGTTGAGCGTGTGACCATGTGCACTTGTGTATGAGCTTTCAGATCATTTCCCTTATTTGAACAGCTAAGAAACCCTGCAAGATGAAATGAGCAACCTGAACAACTTCAGTTGATAAAGGCAAGAGACCGAATGGATTTTGTTGGTTTCATCGGTACTAAGTTTCTCGTGCAACTCATCCATTTCTTGTTATATCTGTTGGCGGGATATGCATATATATTAGATCAAAGCATGTTCCTTGAAGGATCGTCTTTGTGTATCTGATTGGTCAATTTCTAGTCAATCAGTGCCTTCAGATGGTTGGGAAATGATTTAAAATCTCCAATAGATAATGGATGTGCTGAAGTTCTTCGTGTTTTGGTTCTTTCTTCCATCCAACCTTTTTTATTTGGAATGTATTTACCTTCTTACTCAGCCGTGTCTTTTTTTGGGGGACTGGTTGAATAAAGTGACCGAGGAATACTAGGTAGTAAATGCAGTTATTTCCTAATATGATAGATTATAACAATATTCCTTCAGGAGAGACAATTGACGCGTGTTTAGCTAAAGAGTTTCGAGTGTCTATTCTTAATTATGGAACTTGATGGTCAATTAGTAAGTTGTTTGTCATCTTTGAACATTCTGTCTTCATTCGTGTGCCTCTCTGAAGTTCATGGAAATAAGAGTTTTCCAGGTTCATCGCAATGATGAAGGGAATGGGTAGCTAGATGAAAAGATACACGTGATTCACATGCGAGAATAAAAAAACACTGAATTTCCATATTCCCGTTTGTGTGTATTAAACATTTCTCATTTCATTTTCAGGACCTAAAACATTTATTGGTGAAACTACGCGTGCTGTGGCTTTATGTATAATTCGACTACACCACGAATACGAAGGTTCAGTCTCTTAGCCTTCGTTTTAACATAATTAAAAAAACATGTTGAAGGTCTGAAGATAGAGAACCAAGAATCATGCACTACTGCAGATAATATCTATTTAAAGAAAGTCAATTCGGAAATGATTATTGATGGTCAGTGAAATAACATTGAACGTCCGCCAAATTATCGTTGAAGTCGAACGCGATGATACTTCGCACACTGATCACTAGGTTTCGAAATGCTTGCTGAGCTTCGTCAATGTCAAGGATAGCCAGCATGTATCGAAATGTATCCCATGGACCTGTTCAAGCGATAGTGTGAACATTATCTGAAGCTAATTATTAAGTTTAACAGTAGCTGCTAAAATGTCTTTTTTGACCTGGATATATAAAATAATTCAACACAGTCAGGTTGTATTCAATGAAAGCAAATTACTGCGTCCCTCTTCAAAGAGTACGAATCTTCTCTGAGCTACTAACAATCAAAGATATATCAAAACACAGAATTTGTACATAATTTATTCAGTACTAAGCTGCCCATCTATTACACAGTTGAAAGCCTATCCGTTACAACATATGGCACTATACAACAAAACAGGTCACTAAACAAAATCAGCCAGACTATTTCCAACACAATGAAATCAAACGTTACCCGAAACTATCAAGTCAAGCGACTAACGTCGTTAATAGACTGTCAAAGAGAAAGAATAGTCAATCAGTCCGTGATGTGACTTTTTAGCCAAGCAATCGAAACCTTATTACCAACGGGGCGGCATCATACAACAAAAAATGAAATGATGAAGCCAACTCTTATTCATTGAAATTTCCAGCTGTGTTCATCTGGCTCTACTGTATTGGCATTGGACCCTAAACACACGACTTCTGAAACCGGACTGGACCACTTTGTACTCAAAAATTGACACGAAGAGAAGGCTAACAATTCTGAACGCGGGAAGGGGTAATTCAATAAATCCGATGGAACGGCTCAGCCTAACTGACGTGGTCATTTTGTATAACTCGTCTTTACTCGAATTAAATATATTATTCTATCTTCAGCCTACATTCGTTCTTTACATTATATTGTTAATTGTTACGATACGAATAACTAGTGTATATAATGATGTGGCTTCCACGCAAGATCTTATAGATTATGTAGTCAAGTCATGAAAAATCTACAATTTTAGGATTAGGTCTATTATTTGAGCAATACTAATTGTTGGGCTGATTCAGAACACTTATCGCAAAAGACAAGGAAGGATCAGGAAAACACAAAGAAGCACTTTACCCAATCAGCGTTCACTTGGAGTTTAGCCAGAAACATTAAGAAAGTGAAAAGTCACATGTAGAGTTTCTGATTGCTACTATGTTTAGTAGCACTTCGAAATCTTCGAAAAACCAAAGGACATCTAAAATGCTATAAAAGCCCGATATTTGCTGTACTAGAATGAAATTTTGGAGTACATTGCTTCTCGCATATTTTGCACCTTTTCTAGCTTGGGGGTTACGAGAATAGCTTATGAACTGAATATAACGTTCAATTAGCAAGACTTATAAGTAATAACGAAGTTGACCATAATTCCAGATTACCTGCCTATTATCGCACTATTTCGAGAATTATTAGATAGCATATAAACTCTAACACTTCTATTTATGCATTGGCGCCCCTATGGAGCTTGTGTTTGAACAGTTGGATAAACATTAAAATTCTGTAGCTTTCGAAGATTACATGGAAAGGTCTCACTTGTGGAGTACGACCAGAAAAAATGTTTAGGATGATAAAATCGTGGCTCATTTCCTCACATTCATCAGGAAAAGCACCTACAACGTAATTAAAGATTTATTATTTTCAAATAAGCCCATTTTTGTTCTTACTTAACTTTCAAAGAACTGCTACTAAATCATGTAAAGTGTTTAACTTTTGAACGTCATGAAAGTGCGAAATTTTATTTAATGATTCGTTAGAACAACCAGAATGTTATAGAGTTTGTTCTCGAATTGAAGAAGAGAGCTGTCAAGTATAATTTCGGTGACCAACTTTTTATGCAGCTGCGTGATCGATTAGCTGCAGGAATTAACGTACTAAATCTGGAATAGAGCTTATATGAATACCGAAGTGGTCCTTCCAAGATAGTAGAAGTGCATGTGTTAATTACGTGGTAGCTGTTCTTTTGCATATGTCGATTAGAGAACATGGAGATAGCTAAGAAAATGTCATGCTGAATTGGGACTACTGTCGAAGTTCTGGGATAAAATGTGTGTTTCAAACGTCTTAGTCAATCAAGTAAATTTTCCCAAACAACTATATACTAGGATAGGTTCCAAAGATTCAGCGTTAGACAGATACTAACATTTGTGTTCATTTTACAGAATATACAGATTTTAGCTAACGAGGTCAAATGATGAACGTGTGACAGAATACCTACGACAGAACATCTTTTTAAAAGGAGAAATAGACACTTCGGACCAAACCTCGTGCATAAATTATTACGGTTGTGGTTCACGTTTTGTGCCTTCGGGATTTCAAACTACCAGATACACACAACCTTGTGGAATGTAAATTGTATTAATGGTAAAATAGGAAAACACTCGTAGTCAAAACGAACTTCCAACTCATTTCTTAAATACCTGTAACAGAGTGAATAGTCTGAAATTCCCTTCAAAGTGTTATGTTATGGGACACTGGTAATTTTTATTGAGCTTTTACCCCATTTTCTTGTAAATGTTAATTATATCTCTGACTTTCAACTCAAGCGCTACCATCTATTATTTCCGGTTACCGGCGAAACATTTATGCTATGAATGTTGGACTAGACGATTTCCTAGAATCGAGATAATGGGAATATTATTGTAGATCAGAACTACTTTTGTGGTCCTCCGAATATCTTTATAATAAAGGTTAACTAAGTGTTATTGTCTAGTTGGATTTAGAGCTAATTTTTCTCAATATAATGCCCGTATCGTTTATTAATGAGATCGTGTTCTATTTTAGAAAGCTTGGAAATATAGGTCAGCCGAATGATATCAAAATAGTTAGGGTGAAATTACCGTCCAATGGGTTGGTATACCAACCCATGGGAAAGGTTACTTTCAAGTTGGTAAAACTGCCAAGATAAGTGTTTTTATTTCGAATTTCTGCATAAAAATGTGAACTTCAGTCATTTCGTTTTAACAAGCTACTGTAATAAAATTGAAACACTAAGGTCATTGCATCGCTCAAGCGCTCTGAAAGGTTAGGGGAATTCACTATGAGTGGTTTGTCCGAACTACTAGTTTGTCTTTAATATTCCCATAGATGAGGTTGGGGCACTAGTTTTTGACTTTGGATCGTATTCTCTTCGAGGGGGTTTTGCTGGCGAAGATAACCCTAAGGTTGATATTTGTAACTTATAATTATCAGTTAAGATTGATATTCCATCTACTCTTGGGATTATTGGAAATGAAGAAGGTCTACCAGCGAAAAGAGTCGTTGGCCAAAATATCTTGATACCTCGTAAAGGAACTGACCTCCAATCATTTCTTAAAGATGGATTAAGTAAGATTCTACTTAACTTACTTTCGTACAGTTGATGACTGGGATGCTTTTGAGGATGTTATGAGTCACATGCTACGGTACCTCACACCTGAAGAGGCTAGTCATCACCCGATACTTTTTTCGGAACCTTCATGGAATACAAAGTCAAAACGAGAGAAAATTGCTGAAATTTTGTTCGAAAAGTTTAAAGTGTGTTTATTTCGTTTCAAATGAATTATTATCTAGGTTCCAGCATTTTATATAGCCAAGAACGCTGCTTTAACTTGTTTTGCAAACGGCAGACATACTGGTTTGGTTTTGGATTGTGGTGCTATTCACACATCAGCCGTCCCCGTGTACGATGGTTTAGTTCTAACTCAAGAGGTTATACGCTCCCCTTTGGCTGGCGATTTTATTGTTCAGCAGGCACAAAGGTTAATTCTGGATGAGCTTAAAATAGAAGTTGTTCCCTATTATCGTGTCGCATCTAAGGTATGCTAGCATTTATATTCATGCTATGGGTAAATTTATAGTTTAGTGTACACCTTAGATTCTGTGATAATTCCAAATTCTTGGAATCAGCATGTACAGTATATTTTTACGCTTGAATAGGTGGCCTAATTGCCATAGACTGACGATACACATCAAGTGAATGTGTGCTGGTTCAGGTCCATAATTTCCGTTTAAAGTGAAATATGCATATTAATTATTTTCTAAGCATTCCGAAGTCACTTTTTTCTATAAAAAATCAGTCATTGTTTCTGAATTACGAATTTTCTTACCCTATCCATTCAGCTGACCAGATAGTATTCGATAGAATATATTTGAAATGTAGTCATTTTTATCCTATAGTGTGGTCAAATCATTCTTTACAGTTAAATGAAATAATTCCTTAGGTTTATCACGCTATGCCAAGAATCTTGGGACTTGTATATATTAGTTATGTGAATTATCTCGGGATTCCAATATATATTCAGTTCGAATTGTATCTGCACTATCTTTTGGACGTCCAATTAGACTACTGGTGCTATTATTTATTCAAATCAAGGTGCTGCATTCTCCACTCTGTCAGGATTCAGTCAGTCGTATTTTTTAGATCATTGTATCATGATTTCGAAGTTGGAGTGGGAATTGAGGATTTATGTCTGGTTGATTTTGCAGTTGTTATCAGTGATGTCGAATTTGCATGGCAGCACTTTTCTGAATAAGCAAACTTTTGAGTCTGTTTTATCAAGAGGTTTGATTCGGTATCATATGTTGTAGGATAGTTGTGATATTATTATTGTCTGTCTCCAAAAAGCTGGTTCATAATAATGCTATTTGTTCAGATCAAAGGTAACCTCTTATTTCCAACACAACCAAATTATGTAGCATACCAGCGGAATACATGTTTTAGGAAATATTTGAATATTTAAATGTGACTTGTGAGTTTAATTTACCACCAGTTGTTAAAAATGAATGATTTAGAGTAGCAAATACTCACTGTTACTCGTTTATGTGTATTCAACCACATATTTTTCGCAAGGTCTTTGTTTTTCGTCTGTGAGATGTAACTCGGAGGTTCTATGTATTTATTTGTTCCCTCATTCAAATAGTCTATTAGTCATAAGCAATATGGAGTACGTCACATACATTCATCGGTCCAGATTAGCAAACACTTCTAGCACTTATTTTACATCTATCAGTTCTCAGGTTCAAATTACGCTCCACTTCGTTATAGGTAAATACTTGTAATCTTAAAGTATGATACAAGCCTAACTCGATGTCGAAGACTCATACTTTTACTTGTATACCCAGTTTCATTTACATTTTTGATACTCATACTGAGTAGGATTCTACATGTATAAGCTATTCGTTCTCCAGCGATATTCATGTAGTAAACATTTAAGTTTGAATCAGTCAGTCATGAATAACTTTGAACCTGGTACAAATGTTCATCGATCAGTTACTCCGCTTTATGTTTATGTAGCGAAGGGAAATTAACAATGTAAGCGACAAAATCAATCAAGACATTAATATTAATGATGATAAAATTTGAACATAAAAAATGTAGTCTAAAAAGACGGACATGATTAGTTAATGTAAAGCATGTGATAATGTTAAATTCAGGATTTAGAGGAAGATAGTGAATGCATACATCAGTGCTACTCCAACCGTTTTTTGATTATATCATCTAAGTCCTGTGACTATACACGGAGTCTGCGACACAGAGAGTCCACCTAGGGGAGTTTGAAAACCCTCATTCTAAACCAATAGCGCACATGGGCTCCAGTATCCTGACGGAACAAATGGTGCATGAATCTATTGTTGGTCACCGGCTACCATGAGCGTGCTTCTCCTCACGTTGTTCCACCGTCGTGTGGATCATATCTTTAGGTCAAAGGCTCCGGGTGTGGCCCCTAAGAAAATCACCTGTTTCGGTTTGGACACCCAGGCAATATCCGAGCCCTCACACAAATCGAATGCTTTATGTGGTGCATATCTGTTTGGCGCCTACTTGTACTAATGTTTGTGTTTAAGTAAATAATAATAAGTAAAATAAATTTAACCTTGGCAGGAAATATTCGCCTCCGGAGATGGTTAATCCAATAGTCAACAGTTTTATAGGTCTATGCAATATTTAATCCTTATCATTTTCCAATTCACAAGCTTTTAGTTGGGGGTAGGTGATGGTTACTCAGATGTAACACTTGTCCCGACAACATCAGTCAACTTAATCAACTAGTTTACATCTGCCTAGTACGTTAACTGACTTCGAAATTACTCACTTTGTAGTTCCGCTAAACACGAAACCACTAATTATTAAATAATCGAGTCCGTTTATCTCAACCATATTTTCGGTTTACTGTTCATATATTTTCATGTACAAAACGAAGTATCTATGTACGTTTAATTTATAAGTTATGATTATGAAAAATATGACTACCGGTTAATGAAATTTCATTGTTGTTACATAAGAGATTTGTTTCTTGAAATAATGTTTGGAGTGACTATAGCATAGCTTGCTGGCAACGATATCAATGAAGGTAAGCGTTATGCGATAGATTGGGAAAATAATAAAATAGCAGATAGGTAGATACGATTTAAAACTAATTCCATCTAAATCATTGTCTAGTTACCGATAGTTTGTCACTATATGTCCTGTCTTTTTGAACAGTCGGTTAGTTGTTGAATCACTACGATTTTAACTTTCGAGTTTATGGTCCGAACCCTGTTCGGTATGGGCAACTGGTTTATTTATTTATTTATTTATTTGGACACATGAATATTGGTACAGGGGAGCGCCAATATATATGCGCCACACAAAACAATGAAAATTCGAGAGGAATACAAAGAAAAAAAAAGCTAAGGAGCGCAACAAAAAAAAGAGAGAACAATAACGAAGAGATTGGTGTAAGGTAATGTGCTAGTAATCAGGGAACGCAAAGGTACAATCGGAAGAAATCTTTCAGGTAAGGGAGACACAACCACTGTTTATGAAGAAAGTAAAAGAAGGTTACAGCAGGATCGCCACTGGCTTCTATTCTGAGCCATATCTGATAACGTCTCTAGCCACTGTGTAGCACCATCTCTCAGACCCCAACCAGGGAGTCGTGAAGAACCAACACACGCCAGTCCTTTGCAGCTTTCTTTCATGCCACGACACCATGTCATGCACTGATCACCTCTCCGCTTCTTCCAACCAGTCCCAGAGTCGGCAAATAATGCACGACGTGGAATTCTCTGGGACGACATTCGGAGAACATGTCCAAGCCACCGAAGTCGGTGTTTCAAGATGGTGACACCAATTGGATTATCGTCCCTGTGCCCGAACACACAATGCCGAACTTCCGCATTACTAACATGGTGTTGTCACTGAATGTCAGCAATCCTTCGGAGACAACAATGATCGAACACAGAGAGTCGTCTAACGTCCTCAACTCGGAGAGGCCAGGTTTCACAAGCATAGAGCAAAACTGTTCTCACCGACGCGTTGTAGATCCGACCTTTTACGGCCAGACTAACATCACGAAGGCGCCATAGATGGCCCAGATTGGCATAAGCCGCTCTGGCTTTCACTATTCGTGCATTGATCTCATCACTCACACCCCCACCAGCACTTATACAGCTACCCAGATACACAAACTTCTCGACTACGTCTATCTGTTCACCATCCAGGGTGAGTACAGGATTGGAATCCTGCCAGTCTTGTAGGAGTACTTTGCACTTCGAAGGTGCCAAGCTAATACCATACCTACGGACACTGATTGCCAACTGATTAAGTGCGGATTGCATGCCTTGGGCATTATCGCACAGTAAGACAATATCGTCCGCATACTCAAGGTCGAGAAGTCTTTCTCCAGGCAACAGATCCACACCACCATTACTTACATCCATCAGAGCTGTTTCCAGAATGTCATCGATGACAAAGTTGAAGAGGAATGGTGAGATTGGGCAACCCTGCCTAACCCCACTACTCGAATGGAACAATGGAGAAAGGTGGTTGTATGCCCTCACTCTGCCTGAGGTGTTTTTATATAGGGCTTTTAGGATGTTAATAAACTTCTCAGGCACACCCTTCTTCAATAGACAATCCCAGAGAACAGTTCTGTCCAACGAATCGAAGGCAGCCCTGATGTCAAGAAACACTACGATTGTTGGCCTTTGATAAGTATGGCGGTGTTCTAACATTTGGCGGAGGGTGAAGATATGATCAATACATCCTCGACCAGAACGAAAACCAGCCTGCTCCTCGCGAGTCAATCTTTCTCGGGTTTTGAACAACCTACGAAGTATGACGGAAGCCAATAGCTTGGACGCAATCGGAAGTAGACTTATCCCCCGATAGTTGTTACAGGAACGACGTGAACCCTTTTTAAAGATAGGGACAACTATCGACTCATTCCATGACGTTGGCACACTCTCTAGTTCCCAAACCTTTGTGAACAACGTCGTCAATTCCTTAGTCAAAAAGTCACCACCATCTTTAAAAAGAGCCGAAGGTAAGTCATCTGGGCCAGGTGATTTGTATCGCTTCAAGAGTTGGAGTTCCTTGCGGACTTCCTCCTCGATTGGTGGATCAGTCGTCACCGGCCATGGAGGGTAGGACAGTCTGACTGATGTTGCCTGAGTAGCAGGCCAGTTGAACTGCCCTTCGAAAAATTCTGCCCACCGTCCAAGACGCCGATGGATGTTAGTGATTGGCATCCCATCATCCTCGCAGATTGTTTCACTCACACCATACTTCTTGCTGCCAGTGGCTCGGATGAGCTGGAAGAGCTTCCGGTAATTACCAGATGCAGCTGCTGCTTCCAGCTCATTAGCACGCTTCGACCACCAGGCTTCTCGGTCCTTACGCAAGCTTTGCCCGATTTCCTTACATAACATCCTTCGTTTGTGGTCAAACTCACGGTCACCCGGAGTAGACCGACGGGCTTCAATGAGTTGTAAGGAACCAGAAGAAACCCAGTGCTTAAAAGCGGGACGTTTCGCAAACCCACAACTGACTGTAC